CCTAAAGGGGGCCTATAGGAAAGATGGGGACAATCTTTTTAGTAGGGCCAGCTGTGTCAGGACAAGGGGTAATGGTTTTAAACTAAACCAGGGTAGGTTTAGACTAGATATAAGGAAGGAATTCTTTACAATGAGGGTGGTGAAACACTGGAACAGGTTGCCCAGAGAGGTAGCGGAGGCCCCATCCCTGGAAACATTCAAGGCCAGGTTGGATGGGGCTCTGAGCAACGTGATCTAGTTAGCGGTGTCGCTGCTCACTGCAGGGGGGTTGGACTAGGTGACCTCTAGGGGTCCCTTCCAACCCAAAACATTCTACGATTCTGTAATGTGATGTCTCTGAAAAGATCCTTCTGATAGTTCCCTAGAATGCGGTACAGGACAAAGGCAACTTAGTTCCATGTAAAGAGGTCTACAAATGCCTTGTCAGTTGAAGAAGCAGAGAACAGTGTTAGGAACTGCAAGAGCATAAGTTATTTCTAGGAATGCCAGAGACAATCTTCTGACAGGAACTAGACATAAAGTCAAGTTCATCTGAAAAAGGCGGAATACCCTGTACACTGTCTGGAAAAACAAGAGTCTAAACCAAGAGATAAAATAAAAGACAATGTTTAGGACAGGGAGAGGAAGCGAATAGAGGTCTGGGCTGGATTAGAGATCAGGGTAATGAAGTTGCCAAACAGAAGGCTCCAGGACAGCAATCTCAGCAATCACTTTCTGCAGCAAAAATTAAATTTTAAATACAAGTAGGAGGTTTGGTAACATTCTGCATGGTAGATGTGTATTCAGTAGCCTCTCTGAGAGTGGATTGTGGCTCACAGCAGTTAATTTAAACCAAGAATGATATAGAAGTTGATTCATTCATTTGTATCATTTGTATTGATGTCTAATCAAGAATTTTGATGCAACTGATCAGAAGGCAGCAATGGAGAGATTTACATCTGTGGGTTAAGACAGAAATTGCATATTATTTCATGGCTATTTTTCAAGCTGCATTGGCTTGCTACAGCTGCCCCTGTGAAAGGCCAGGAACAGTAGGGTATCCTGCAAGAATGCGGAGAGCCTCGTGCATCAGGGAATTGACAAGACCTGAGCACAATTTGCTTGCAGTCCACACAGAGAAGCCTGCCATTAGAGTAGCGAGGCTGCAGGATGTGCTTTGTAACCAACTTCTGCCCCTTAGATGTATGGGCCGTGCTCTGTGAGCATTTCCCAGAATAAGCTGTGACAGATCTCTAAGATACTTAGAACTAAACTTAGTACTACAATGATATGTTGTTCCTTAACCTCTGAGGAAGAGTCTGCAATATGTGTGGACACAGGAAGGCAGCTAATTCCAAAGTAATCGATGCATTTTCTGCCAGTAATATTTCTCATTGTTATAACCGCCTTAAACACCAGGGGTCACTACTGGACATAAAATCTGTAGTATTGTTATCGCTCTGAAATCCAAATATTCTGCAGATGTTTATATGCAGAATTAGTATATTAATTAATTAGTGTGTCCATATAATAAGCATTAGATCTACCCTGAAATATTCATAGACACTATTTTTTGTGATGCAGGCATTTACACACTGGTGTCAAGTTGTTCATACTTTCCATTACAAGATAGAAGAGAAGATAATGAGATTAGAGTTTGAAATTTGGATCTCAGTTCACAGATGAACACTCCCTCTTTGTGAGCATAGAAGACTTCTCTAAAGATATGGCAGATGGTGTCTCCACTTCGCTGGTTGAATACGTTTATGGAATTCCTGGATCTTCAGGTTTTGAATAAGCTACCTACCAATGCAAATGCAGCAGAGTTTTAAGTCATTTTTAAGTTCATGGTTCTTCTGTTTTGCCTGTCAAGAAATTCAGCAGAACCTTTTCTAGTGGGTGTAAACCCGGAAATGTGTAACGTAGACACTAATTATTGCAGAAAGCAATCTGTACGCATTCAGAAAGCTCATATGATGATAGGTCATCTCTCTGTTGTATTTGTTTCCTTCTACTATTCATTTTGGTCTAGGTACTGCCTGTACTTATCGATGCCAAAGAGCTAGCTTCTGTCAGAGAAATGATAACCAGACATTCTAGATAGCTGGCTTTGAGAAACCAGCCATGCACTCTGAAGAATGCATGCGTTAGAGGGTTGAACTTGATGATTGTAAAATGCACCAAAAATTGAGTCAATTGCTTACATCAGTAATTTAATTAAAGTGGAGAATCAAACACTAATTACATCACATTTCAAACTGCAATAACCAGATGATTTTGAGGAGTAAGAGAAATGGGGCAAAAATCAAAATATTGTCAGCTAATATCTAACTAGTAATACAAGCCTCTGCTGCAGAGTGTATGTTCATTAGTTGAAAATAACTCTGTGCACCAGTTGGTCACAGGATGACTGTATATTATGAATGTAGTGTGGTGATGAGAAAGACAAGCGTGACTGTAGAATGCATCAGGAGGTACTCAAAACAGAGAAAGGGAAATAATAATGCTGTTGTATAAAGTAAGCCCTTTTTGGAAGTGCATTGTGCTATTTGGGGGTGATTGTATTCAAGGAAGATGATGTCATACTTGAAACAAGTGCCAACAATAGCTTAAAGCTTAAATTGTACTGTATGTGTACTCTTATCAAAGCACTCTGTGGTACTTGGACCCCTTTGGGGCATGCAGCTCCCCTCTGTACTGACTTGAGCAGGAGTAGCCCTCTGGCATAGTAACTATTTCACCACCATTTTGTGCCAACGCACACATAAGCACTTCTGGCAATGACTTGTCTGCCTCATACGCTCCAGAATGGTGTGCCCTGCACAGCGTGGGGGCCCTTACCTGACGCAGAGTCTCAGCTTCAGCTTTGCAAAGTTGTCAAGATAGGATGCCTACTTCTGCTTTCTTTCCTATTTCTGGAGAAGGGAGCAGTTTGGAGGCACAAGCTCAGGATCATTCACACCCTAAGCACAAGGGCAGCATGCTGCATGGGAGGATGGCTGGGGCATGACATGCTAGAGGGGGAAAAAAAGACAGCCCACATTTCCCTTCAGAGGCATTTGCTTTGGCATGTGTCTCTGCTTCATGCTATTCCTCTCATGTAGGGAGGTTTTGGCTGAGAGAGAACCACTTGTTTGTTCTCATCCATTTATTTTCCGTTCTTTTGACTTGTATGGTAGGCATGGACATAATATTCTGGAAGAAAACTAGAGTCCCGTTTCTAGACTCACTAACGTGAGAGTGAGGTTGAGAATAGCTTGTCCTCTTCTCCAGCCTGGTTGTGTACCTTTGTCCCATATCCTGAATGAGGATGCAGATACCATCTCCTTTGTCCAGGCATCTAGTAATATGCCTGGAAAATCTATATTAAGTGGGATCCTGACTGGGAAGCGAAACATATGACCTTAAAAAGCTACTGAAGTGTAGACAAAATTTTGAAATGTCATTTATGGGGAAGAATGAATTTATAACAAGGCCTCTTCTGGAACTGAATATAGTGAGAAGTGAAAAGCCTGCAAGGATTCTCAGTTTTGCATACAGAGATCAATATATTGCTGAGGTGAGCCATATAGGCCTAAGGAACTGTATATTTGCCAATTATTGTAGGTTATTTTTTTTTTTCTTCTGGGGTGTCAGGAAGAAGGGGTGAAGGCAGGGACAGATTGTTAAGTATATGGCATTTTAAAAGTGTTGCCATAGTAATTGGCCCAAATGGGGAAAGTTATAGGAAGCAGGACCATGTTGAAGGCTGTGTACAGAAAGTTATCAAAGCAAAAAGTTGACAGGGCATTCCCGCACCTGTTGCTGCGTTTGCACGCACTGTGACCTGGTTGTTAGTGAGCCCAGCTTCAGTGTAAGGTGTTAGTTTGTTTCCGGATTTCTGTCTCTGCCAGTTTGTAACACACTAGAAGCACCAGACCCTCTTGGCTAAACAATGAGCAGTAACTTGTGTGTGGGAACGGGGTGAGGCCAGAGGCGGTGGGACTTTTTTTGGAATTTTTTTGTGCTTTGGTTCTACATA